AGGAGATCGCTAGGTGGGCTTGAGCAACTGGCTTGGATTTCGATGATACCGAAGAGATTGATGTTTTTGATGGTCGTTGTTCAGGGTGCTTTTCGAAGCAGATCGACTCCTTGTGACCGGCTTTGTCGCAGTGGGAACAGATCGTGAATCCCTTTTTACAATGAGGACACATGTAAAATTTGTCATCGGTGGTGAGAAGAGCTTGTGGAGACGGGATCGACGAGGAACGGTCGAGATGATTTTGAGCCGCATGTTTTTCAAGTCGCGAGAGCATAGTGGCGACGGAATCGAGAGGGCAACCAACGCTGACAACGGTTCTGAAGGATTTGAACTCGGACGGAAGCTTCCGAAGTATGATGCTGGTCTTTACTAGATCGTCTAGACCGACCTTAGCTGTCACTAGTCGATGATTTGCAGCACGAATCTCCGAAATGAATTCAGTCGTTGATCCATGATATTCGAGGTCAAGAAACTTCTCGAGGGCTGAATCTTTTGCGATGTAATCGTCGCCAGCGTATTTTTTCTTGAGGATCTGCCAGACCGAATGACCGTCGAAGGAGTCGTCGTCATTGAGGATCTGAGCGATGTAGGCCAGGTGATTGGTGTCGAGGTGCTCGATTATTTCAATGTACGCCACCCGATTTGTTTCGCTATACACCACAAATTCTTCAGTAGGTTTCTTGATGTCAACGAGTACTGGTTTCTGGATTAAGCCTTGAACAACATCGAGAGCTCCGATTTTGCTCAGCTTAGCGATCATGAGAAAAGACCAGGTCGTATAGTTGGACTCATTGAGGAGAAGTGGAGCGTTTCGAGTGTTTGACATGGTGAGATTTGATTGAGGTGGGAGATGTTCAGAGATGAGAGTGTTGATTGATGTTTGGAGACAATGAGGTTGAAAGAGGAGTGTAGCGTCGAATTTCGACTGTTAATCGTGATGAAATTATAGGTTCTGACCAAGGGGAAGAGGGGAAAGAAGCGACCGGAGCAACAAGCTCAAGATTGTCTTGAGGAAGAAAAACAAGGTCGAAGCACCTCAAAAGAGGTTTAAGCTGCTAGCTTGCGTGGCGGAAAAGCACTCACGCTACAGGAGATTGTATGTCTTAGAGACCTCAGGGAAATGCGCGCAGAAAGCAGATGATGTTCAATTTCTAACTCAGGAGCATGTTTATTTATCTACATACAAAAGTGGGCTGAGATGTGGGACAGAAGGTGACAGAGGCATATTCATCTGGAGCAGGAAGGAAATGAGTGACAGAGATGTGAAAGGGAGGAAAGGAGGGACACCATGACTACAGAATTCCAACAGGCTGCATTCAAGGAATCAACAGCCCAACCCGAACCCGTTTACAAATCGGGCTGCCCACGGGCCGCTATAGAGAAGGTCTTTCAGGCTGTTAGCGGGCTGCCCGCGGGCTTGGTCACTGAGAAGTTCAGATTACGGCGCTAGCACTCGCGGCGGCGGGGTCGCAGATGGAGTAGGAACCGGGGTTGGTTCGGACCTTGGGATAAGCTAAGCTCTGGGGGGGTCCTG